CATCGCCACACACAGGCAGTTCTTGCTCACTCCGCTCCCATCCAGCACGACTGCTATTTCCAACGGGGCTTTGGCCCTGTCTCTTATACACATCTAGATGTGTATAAGAGACAGGAGAGAGAGAGAAGAACCACGATGTGCATGACAGAAAGGCCGCACAGGCCTCTCTTCCATGCACATTGTCATTCTGCGATTTCAGGTATGCCCGATAGCTTCCATCCCGAGGCCAGGAGAATAACAGCAAGTGCCACCAACGGCCACAGGGGCATGTTGAAAAGATGCACGGTAGCGATACGGGCATACGAAAAACTTCTACGTGGGTAGTTAACGATAACGATTATCCGGTAGGGGCATATTGGAATTTTGAAACGGATACTGGTAGGGGCATATTGAACGTATTTGAGGCCCAAACGATGCCAGAGTTTTTTTGAAAACTTCAATCGTTGTAAGAGGGGCGTGACAGGGTGAGTCGGTCGTAGGAGGGACACGTCGCAAATAGACCGAACTTTCAGGGGCATATCAGAATTTTCCCCTTTTTTCTTTTCAAAATTCAAATCAAGCACCATTTTATTATTACCAAGACAAAAAAAGACCGGGAATCCCTCCACAAACAAACCAGAAGAAAGTCCTGGAACCATTACACAACTTCGATTCACGCGTTGGGGTGAAGTCCAGTGACAGAAATGACCAACTCTAGCCCGACATTCCCCCCMCTTAAAAAAAAAAAAAAAAAAACTCTAGCCCGACATCTTGACAGTTCCCAACTCTGGGAAAAAACAAACAATGCCACAGGCCTTAAAAACCACACAAACCAAAAGACCCGCGTTGAACAGAGTTACGCCACAATGGCACATACATGAAAAACGCACACAAACTGCCACCATGAACCAATTTTACAATAAGCCTACCAAAAAAACCCTTTCGGCAATCAATCCCTGAAAGTTACAGACCTTATTATTTAGGGAAATTTCAAAATTTTTGAAATGCCCCTGTGACAGTAGTGAACCTTGGCAGAATCCCCCACTCGCCAATTGGACCTATCATCTTTTGCATATATCCCGACCAGGCCCCAGGCAAATTGTTTATATGCCCCGATATTTTAGGCCGTTGGACTTTGCAGATTGCAAAAGATATGAAGGGGCCCTTGCAGTCTAGGGCTAACGCATATGGAGAAGTTGCCAATGAGCGGGTCAAAAGGCAGATGCAGAAGTTTAGGGCATTTCAGTTTACCCCTGTGTTTTAGGGGTATATGGCAAAATACCCAAACTTTTAGGGGTATTTTAACAATTTTCCCTATTATTTATTTGAGAAATTGTGTTTTGCCCCTCAAAGTTGGTGGAATTGCCCTCAATTGCCCTCAAAAGCGCAGAACACCCTTTTGTGCTTCCATCTTTGCATAATACCCCTGCCTCAGGGTTATGAAAATTTGCACCCTTCCGCTTGGCCCAAGATGTTGAGGCCTGCAAAATTGCTCACCCGGTTTGACAGTTTGAGGAACATATGAGAATACTCAAGAGCCATTCAGGCAACCTGTGAAACACCCGGCATTTCATTTACTTCAAATTGTTCTTTCATTTTATTGTCCTCAATTTTCACTTACGTTCTCATTTGTTTTGATAGTAAAACAAGGCGATGCCCGTCACGGCTCCATGCGCGACGGAGACTTGCTCCCCCGTGCAAAGTGGAACGAATCTTCCGCTGGAACATGGGGAGATACACGACCATGTTTTTTTGTCTTCCTTCTCGTCCTCCTCCCTTCCCTCCTCCCACTCATCATCCCGCCCCTCCTCCACGGCTAGCGGGCTCGTCATCTCCTCCTGTTCCTCCTCTAGTGGGGATCGACTCCTTTCCACGCTCGTCTCTCCTCCTCCACTTCCCTTTTGACTCCCAAGGCCCAACGGGGGTACACGTGCTGACAACAAAGTAGGGAAAAAAAAATAGCCGCACATCTTCCCAGTTTCTAGCGAGAGATTCATTCTCGTGTTGCAATTTGGTGAGTGTTGGAGCCAAGGCCCAACGTGGCACGTGTGGTGACAACAAAGTAGGGAAAAAAACACAGTCGCGCATCTTCTATGTTTCTAGCGAGAGATTCATTCTCATTTTGCACATTTGGTGAGTGTTGGCGCCAAGGGCAAACGAGATACACGTGCTGACAACAAAGCAGTTTCACATCTTTCAATTTTTGCTTTTTGTATGTTGAATCCGAACACACCTGAACGCGTTGCTACGTACTTGTATTCGAACACATAAGGAATCATGACAATAAGATTACAAAATAACAAAAAAGTAAAAGTGACAAAGATGAAAGGAAAAAATCGTTCTGTTGAGGTGCCCACCAACATTTGCGACTCGAGCCTTGGGGGCAGACATCGGGCCCTTCCAAAGCCTCCCCGCGTGAAAAAAAAAGAGTGCACCACACTTTCATTGGGCCCGGCCTGGGTCCCCGACCTCTTTCTCAACATTGGCACTCCGGTCCTCGCATGGGAGCATTACGCGAGACCTGCGATTCGCTTTAAGAGTAATTTAAGAGCATAAGGATAAGGACTACACGATATTCTTTCCCAAAAACGACAGGACCTCACCGCCGAGTCCGTTATGCAGCAATGCGGCGCCGTTTTTCTGAAATTGGAGAAGTGTGAGCATTTTGTCCAACTTGTGGAGCACCAGTGGACATATTAAGTGTCCGACTCCCAGTCCTGGGTGACAATGAGCAGCAACTGTGTGACATTGAGCAAGAAAGGCAGGGACAAAGGGCAGTATATGGCTGGCGGACACTGTGAACTCCCGCAGTCCTGTCTGGACCATTGCATGGAAGCTATCGCTACGAAGCTGGTGTGCAGTGGGAAGGAAGCAATTCAAATCCCACGCCACATTCCGTGACACTGTGGAACAACCTCTCCTACAACATCGTTGTGGGTGTTTGAAGTAGCCATATCCACAGCTGTCTCTGTCCAATTGTCTGCGAGCCGACTCATCGAACTGCACATGGGCACCTCCGGCGTCGAGGACTGGGATGGCGATTTGATGTTCATCGTCCTCTTCATCATCGCCCGCACTGGCCGTCACATCCAACGTCAGACAACGCACTGGGGGCAGCCTGTGCCGGCTGCGCAAAAGTTTGCTTGCGCTTTCATCAGGTGGGCCACATGAGGCTTCTACAGGCAGACGGCACATGGATTGGGTCTTTGCAGCGCCCTCCGAAGTAATGAGGACGTGGCAGATGCTCTTGTCAACGAGTTTGGCAACATCATCTCTTTTCCCGTAGGAAGGAAGCTGGCGGAGATGCTAATGGCATTCGAGAGAGAAAAGGTTTTTCGAGGGGGGTGAAGAAATGACGGGGCTTTCACTCATGAGAATGAGAGCAGAGAGAGAGGCTATGGCTGCCGTCTCCACCCGAAGTCGTCTAGGTCCCAAACCCACAGGTATAGCACCGGCACCCTTTAATTCGGCAATTTCTACGGTGGTAAAATCCCCTTCCGGCCCGATAATGACCATGCCCTCCACCTTCTCGAAGCTTCGGGAATGTGTAGCGAACACAGTTGCCAGAGATGGGCTCATGGCCACAGCAAGTAGAGACAGCTTAGCCTCCTGAACCCTGGGAAGAAGAGCCGACAAGGAGATCGGGGTATCGATGATAAGGCTGTGCAGACGCTGGCATTGCTTGGTGGCAGCCATGGCCACTCGCGACCAACGATCCATCCTCCCGCCCTTGATCTCTGGTGATCTGACCGTCAAAAGCGGAACTAAAGAATGAGCTCCCAGTTCCGTGCACTTCTCGACCAGCCAGTCGGCGCGTCCCCCCTTCAGACTGCCACAGGCGACGACCATGTCCCACCTGGGCCCAAGGTAAGGAACAACGTTTGTCGCCTCCATGGCTTCTACCATCGCCTCATCCTGACCTACATGTAGAAGGCGTGCCTTCGTCAAGCCTCCCCTCCCATCAAATAGCTCTAATTCATCATCCTTCTTCATCCTTAGCACCTTTCTGAGGTGCCATAATTCATCTCCCACCAAGCGAGCAACTGCACCCTCTTCAGATGGCAGGGAATCCACGTGGAAGCGAGGCAATCCTCCCACGGCATTGCTCGCCAGGCCAGGAGGTGAAAGGCTCTGGAAATCGTCAAGACCGCGAACATCTTCACCGTCATCGGCACCATCGCCGTCGTCTTCCCGTTTGCCTCGATGCATCCTCAACTTCTTCGTTGTCACCTTCTTTGACAGCGCTCGTGTCAGGCGTAAGTTCGTAGCTTGTGGCCCACGTGGCAGCCCTGTTTTTTTTGCTGCTGCTGCTGCTGCCGGATTACCCAGCTGCAACCGGGCTTCATGTGCAGTGACATGGAGTCCTCGCCCACAACACATCTCACCAGACAGCTCCCTCCCTCTTGTCCAGCTCGGTGCACAATGTCTCCGTCGAGTAAGATTTTGTCGGAGAAAACTGCACTGACAATGCTCGTGTCGGACGTCAGAGCTCTCACCTCTCACTCTTGTCCCCAGTCTTGGCGATCCTTTGACGTGATGCCACACACCATCCCCCGATGACCTGTTCCTCTTCCCCTCCCATCTGACTCCAACCTCCACCCTCGACACGCTGCCTGGAGCCTCTAGCACACCTTTGAAGCATCCACCTATAGCCCCTGGATAGGTGCCGCCTGAAAGAGCAAGAGGCGTAGAATGAGGAGGACAATAAGCAACTCCTTGCACGCGCATTATGGTCCGAACAAAAGATCGGCCATGCCGAACGTGCCACATCAGCAACGACATTTTGCTGCCACGCATCAGAAGCGCCAACCAGGGAGAGGCTTTCCTTGCCCAATGTCTTTGAAGGAAGTCCGCCGGAGTGTGATCCTACCCAATGATGTCCATCACAATCTACTCTTAGCAGAATCTGGACCGTCCTTTCCCTCCTCCTCCTCCTCTTCCCCCTCCCCCTAGGCTGAAACATAACAGGTCCATATCATCGGCAGACCAGTGCCATCAGCAGGACGGCAGACCTTCGGAACAACAGCAAACTCCTCTCTTTCCCTTTCTTCTCTTCCTGTCCTCCTCCTCCTCCTCCTTGCCAAGTACCTCTCTACTCCACCTTTCCCATTGCCCTTCTTGTTCACATTCACAGAACATTTCTGGTTGGAGTCAACATAATCTCACCACTCCTTTCCAGTTACAATCCTATCCCGCATTGCTCAACTGTTGCCCTTTCCTGAAGCTGCACAGAAAATAAAAAGCATGCAATGAAAAGAGAGAGAGACTTTGTAGGGTCAAATTAGGAGAAATAACCATCCGGAAAAGAAAGGAAAAGAAAAGGAAATATGACCACACAATGGCACACATCCTTTAAAAAAAAAAAACAAAAAAAAAACAGAGAAGATGAGCATGGCCTCTGCAGGGATGCCACACACAAATCAAGATAGCCAGCCAACCAAAAACAAAAAACAGAAATATGACCATACAAGGGGCCTGGTTCCATTCATGAATATTTCTGTTTTTCTTAGCCGAAGACGGGTAATGGCCCCGGTACCTCAAAAAGAAAAAGAAAAAGCGTTTAAACGCCAAAGCCGGGTACTTACCCCAGTACCTCAGGAAAAAAAAAAACAAAAAAAAAAACGCCAAAGTCGGGTAATGGCCCCGTTACCTGAAAAAAAAAAAAAAAAAAAAAGGAGGCCTGGTTCCATTCATGAACATTCCTGTTATTCTTACCCGAAGCCGGGTAATGGCCCCAATATCTGGAAAAAAAAGAACAAAAAATTTGAAAAAAATGGGCCTGGTTCCATTGGCAAGCAGATGGGATAGGTGAGATGCGAGTGTGGCATCGTGCATCGGAGGAACATATTGCGAGATCCAAGGGATGGAGTTCAACCTCCAAACAAACATTTACGGCACTAAATGCAAAACCTTGGTACCCCCTGCGGCTCCTTAACACTGGTGCCACTTACGTAAATTGGCCTTCCCGCCAGTGACACTGTGCAAAATCACCTTCCTAAAAAAAAAAAAAAAAAAAAAAAAGACACATTTGGGGTTGCCAGAATGGTTCCGCCCGAACTTCCAAACATTCTGCACCTGTGAGAGCGATGCTCAGCCACTTTTTCTCTTTTTCCTCAATACCCCTGCCACCCTGCCCTTCATGTTGTGGGAGTAGTGTTGGTCCCCCCTTAAATTTTCACTAAGGAAAACAAAATCTTGCACGCGATGGGGCCAGTATTCGGTGCCAAATGCCCCCATCCCCTTCTTCCTCAAATGTGTAAGTTTGAGTATGTGTGGTCGTGGGGCATACATGTGCGTTGATCTCTCTCTCTCTCTCTCTCTCTCTCTCTCTCTCTCTCTCTCTCTCTCTCTCTCTCTCTCTCTCTCTC